GCAGGACTGGGGAGAAAATCTCTGGCTTCCCTTCTGCTCAGAGTGTGGAAGTGTTTGTGAAACACAGGAGCTGTGAATCGCACAGGAAGCTCGCACCGCCACAACTCCAGAGCAAAGAGTAAATTGATATCTCTTACCTTGCTAACGGGGGCTCCGTGAAGCTGCACCTGGGCAGGGGCAGTGTTAGACCCGACCTGTGCTGGAATACCCTGGCTGTACCCTGCAGCTTAACAGGAGCTGTTCCCAGCTGTGAGGTCACTTCAGCAATTTTACGTCTTCATCGCCGGTGTTCCGCTTCCACAAATCGGCCGTTGCTTACGTAACTTCCTTTTTACTCACTGAGCAGAGTCTGTTACAGGGGCTGTGGGTTACTGGAACGTGTACAGATGTAGGAGATGTAAATCCACTGGAAGAGTCCCAGACCAGACTGGACAGGAAGGTGTCCCTGCCCCTGGCAGCAGGTGGGACTGGATGGCTTTAAGGTCCCTTCAAGCCAAACCATTGCATCATTGCATGATTCAACTTTATTGAGCCAGGTAATGTTGCTGTTCTTTGACAGATGGAGAAATGAACGCAGGAGGGGGTATTGGCAAGAAATTCCTCTCTGTGAGGGTGATGTGGCCCCAGGACAGGTTACCCAGAGAAGCTGTGGCTGCTCCATCCCCTGGAGTGTCCAAGGCCAGGCTGGATGGGGCTTGGAGCAACGTGGGCTAGTGGAAGGTGAGAGGGTGGGGATGGCCCTGGAGCCTTAAGGTGCCTTCCAACCCGAGCCATTCCATGTCTCCAGGGTACATTGCCATGCTTGTTTGACAGCAAAAGCCATCCATGTGAAGATTCCAGGACTCAAGCACAAGTTTGTACCCGAATACTTAATTTTTATTAGTGTCTGTTAGAATACTGTACAAAGGAGTAATGAAAATATTCACGCTTTCTTTTAGAAGGTTCTCTACAGGAGACTGCTGTGTCCACATCAAGGACCCTTATTTCTGGTACAGCCTCAGTCCTGAGGTTGTCAGGTGTGCCATGGGACGGAAAAGACACAAAATTAAGAAATAGCCTTTGAGACCACAGAATTGCTTAGCAAGAAGCTGCTCTTTATTTATAAAGTGATAATGGGAATATTTGTGCCATCTCCCTGAAGTGCTGCCCATGGCTCTTGAGTGTCTCAGGGAGATGGGACTGGAGAGGTGAGAGTGAAACCTCTGGGATTTCCCCACCTTCCTACAACCAGTAGTTAATGGAGCCCCCACTGAACGAGAGAGGGAGCAGGGTGAATCTCTGCTGATATTTTCCTTTGTCTTTTGTTTTATTTTCATTTCCTTCCTTTTCCCTTTGCATTTCATTTTTGCCTTTGTATGTTCTTCCCCTTTTTCCTTGCACCTCCCCTTTCCCCTCTGCATTCCCTTCCCATTCCTTTGCCTTCCCTTTCCCATTTACTGATTGCAGAAGCAGCAGCAGCAGCATTTTGAGGGAAGCAGGATTACACGAAGCACCGGTGCCAGGCCTGTGATTCTTTGGGATTGTGGATTTTTCTGTTTTCACTTAATAATCTTGGGGAGACAGACAGATCTACTTTGATATCCAGCCTTTAGCATCTATAATGAATTTTCCAGCCTTAAATTTGCTTTTGCCAGCCAAAGCAGCCTTGAGCATTAACAAGGGTGATAGTGGGAGGGAAAACTCTTGTCAGCAGAGTTTTCCCAACATTTTGTGGAGGGGTTCCCTGGGCAGGGCCACGTACCTCCTACTTGGAACCACTCAGGAGGTTGAGGACATACAAGGCCACAAACAGGGCTGCCACAGCCTCAAAGGGTTCATCCCTAGGGACAGCTGATCCATCTTCCTGGAGCTGGACGCCACTCAGCTCCACCAGGGCAATGGTTAACATCTGCTCCTCCTCGTGAGGGAACGAGAGCAGCCTGGCATCCACGTGGAAATGCCGCATCTGATCTTCCAGGTCATGTTTCAGTAGGTTTGCAACCTTTAAATGACAACAAAAAAAGCAAAACCATGATTTTAATCAGTAGTCAACTTGTGACATCACTATAGAGATTTTGCTAGAATTACAATAGTCTGAGCCCTCTAGAAAGGAGCCAAGTGTGATTTGTGTTCTCACCAGGTTCAGCTGTTGGGACACAATCTTCCTTTCCAAGGATTCCAGCAGCAGCAGCAGCTGATCCTCCGTTAACTCTGCAGGAATAAACTGGGTTTGGATCCAAAACCTCTCACCAAGTTGATGGGGGTTGCTGGTGGGCTGGGACTGGTGAGCAGGATGGGAAAGAGTGAAGAGGATGGGAAGGGGGATCATTTCCTGTAGGAAATGCTTGTTTGGTGCAAGGTTCTTGGGATGTTTTAATGGAGATTATTTGTGTAGGCTGACTGTGAGAGTGATCTGGCTGTTACTCAGAGAATCATGGAATATGGAGTTGGAAGGGAGCTAGAAGGATAATTGATGTCCAACTCCTGTCCCTGCCCAGGACACCCCAACAGTCCCACTGTGTGCTGAGAGCCTTGTCTAACCACTCCTGGAGCTGTGCCAGCCTCGGGGCTGTGCCCATTCCCTGGGGAGTCTGTTCAGTGCCTGAGCACCCTCTGGGATAAGAACCTTTCCCTGCGATCCAACCCAGCTGTGCCAGACACAGCTGCAGCCATTTGCTTGGGTCCTGTTGCTGGTCACCAGAGCAGAGATCTGGGCTGGCCCTAGGGAGGAAGCTGTGACCAGACTTTGAGGGAGCAGGGAGCCCTGGATGGGTGCAGAGGGGGTTTCTCTCCTCTCCCCTACATGGGACTTGGATGTAGATTCCACTTGAGGAGGAGGAGGAGGAGTATGAGAGGAAGGCAGGAGGGAATGGCAGGAGTGGGAGTCATCCCTGCCTTGATTTCCCTCTTGAAGCCCCAAAGCCTCACCATGCAAAGCGTCAAGGACGTAGGTGATTCCTTCTGCCAGCTGAAGGAGATGATATCTTGGGGAATGCTGCAAGGTGCTGAACAGGTCTTTTAAGTCTGGGCTCTCAGTTTCCAGCTGATAACCATCATTTTGCTCAGAAAGTTCTTCCATCTGTGGGGAGCAAGGAAAAGAAATGTCAGGATTTGAGGACAGAGGCTGCTGCTTGTCCAGAGCAGGGAGATGTGCTGAGAGAGGGAATTTTGGATGGATGGTTGTGTCACAGGGCAGGTGACTTGTGGGACAGGAGGTGTGGTCCTGGATGTCTGTGTATTTATAAATGGTGGCAGTAAGAAAAGCTTCACTTACTTTGTGGCTGAGCTCTTGAAGGAGGTTCTTGTCTCTCATCACAGCTGTGATGGTGATTAAGATGATGAGCTGCAGGTCAGGAGACAACTCGGGGAAAATTCGGCAGGAATATCGAACTTCT